AGAAGTTAGAAAGATTGTAAATACAAAAAAATTGTATTCTTTCTCCATATTGTAGTAAAATCTCTATTCTCTACAAATTACATTTTTCTTGCATTCTTTATTTCATATTATACTTATAATCTCGTATTTTCTCCCACACATTGGTATTGGATTAATCCGGTTTCAGTTTTCAACGTAATAGTCTCAAATTGTAGGCCTCTTTCCTTGTTAATAGTATAATTAATCACTTAATTTTCTAATATATGTATTTAATACGTCTTGTTATCAACCAATAAGAAATATCATTACTCAAAATGAGGAATTAAGCTTCTTGTATAATGAATTTGTACGACTTGTTTGACAATATATGAGGTGTAAAAATCCTGATCATTAATTTAAAAAATTATTTATCAAAACAATGATTAAATCCCTGCCAATTCGCAATTGTCAATCTAGGGCCTGTTTGGTACCCATTTTTTTCAAAATGCATTTTTCTCTCTCTTCTTTTCAACCACACATTCTTTATTAAAATAATATTACACGTAAATCAAAAACTTTTCCTTATTTTTTAACCACACATTTCCCATTAATTTACTATTTAAAAATACATTTTCACATAAAAATATCTACCAAACACCCTCCTAGTTATACAAGTAGCATGATTTACATTAAAAATTACTGTGCATCAATTCGAGAATTTACTTTGAGGTAACTGAAACTTTTGGTCATTGAAAATTTACAATACTAACGATAGAACTTTGACTTATCCTTCTTCGAAGATTGTAATCAATGACACCCCTATGTCAGTGATCCTTGGTTCAAAAGACTTGATATCAACTAAAAGTTGTTTCCAACATGGTATGGTGAAAGATCCGCTACATTTAAAGTATTAAGTCGTCATAGTAAGGAGGCAAATCAATTTTGTAAGCATTGTTACAAATTATTTGGAGAACTTCGAAAGAGTTGTCAACTTCCTGATGAACTGAAGTTTAGCGTAGCTTCCTTAATGAAACCATTCTTTTTGTAGATGAATCCAAAACGTATTTGTGGTGCTTGTTTGCAATCTTCATGTACTTCTCATTTTTCTTTCCCGTCGTATGTTGAACTTGATCATGCATTTTCTTAATGAACTTACACTTTGTTTTACGTCTCCACTAAAATGATGAGTATCAGGATGCAGAGTCAAGTCCAGAGCACTTAAAGAGATATTAGCCATAAACAACTATAAGTGGGCTTTCTTTAGTAGTTTGGCTAGTAAATTAATTATAAATGAATTTAAATTCAGCAAAAAGTAATATCTCATTTTCGTATTTCTTTCCTACATAACTTCTCAAAAGATTGTCCGAACTTCCATTATATAACTTCTGTAGGATTATGACTTTGTCAATGGTAAAATGAAATGAAATAAAGATTTGTTCGCTTCTTTCTCCAGAAGTGCATTAGAAAAGACATCAAAATTTTCAATCTGGATCAGAATCAATGGAATTAGAAATTCTATGGAGTATGACAATCTCTGAAAAATGTAGATAAAGAGTATGAGATATATGTGTAGTTTTGCTGAAATGAACAAAATTTGCAATTTGAAAAATCAATCCACATCATCATGACAGACAAACAACAACATCAAAACTAACATCTTCCAAATAAGAGGTATCATCAAGTGTTGCAATATATACGTTGGAAATAAAAAATTATGGGATGAAAGACTAGAGAGAAAAATTCAGAGAATTCTCAAAATTATTTGTATTCTATGGCTTCGCTCAATAAAATGTCTCAAGCACAAGACTTTTTATAGATACAAAAAATTTCAAATACATTGTATGAACTTCATAGACTAATTAATGATTTTTTCTACATAATATGATTAATAGGATACAAAGAACCATTTGGATACATGATTTAAATAAATGCATGAATGTTAAATAAACCAATTCATGGATCAAATTTAATTTTTTTCATCATTCATGAATCAAGTTTAATTTCCAACACCCCTTCTTAAACTTGATTCCCTCTTGATAACTCCAATCCAAGTACGCAATCTTCCAAAATCATCATTCTTCAATGGTTTGGTGAAAATGTCTGTTACTTGATCATTGGTCTTCACGTAAGCACGCTCAACTTCTTTGTTCTCAATGCACTTTCTAATGAAGTGAAATCTTGTATCTAAGTGCTTGCTTCGATCATGGAACATAGGATTTTTACCCAAAGCAATAGCTGACTTGTTATCAACATAAATTGGTGGAGCTTCGTTTAGAGGCATATGAAGCATCTCCAAATAATTTCCATAGCCAAATGGTATGACAAACACATGATGCAACGGAAACATATTCAGCTTCACAAGTAGAAAGGGTCACAATGGGCCACTTCTTTGAACACCAAGTGAAAGCGGTGTTACCCATGAAAAACAAAAATCCAGTGGTACTTTTTCGATCATTAATATCACTAACCCAATCACTATCACTATAACCATGAAGCTTGAAATTTGTAGAAGAAGAATAAGCTAAGTGAAAGGTACCTTTAATGCAGCGAAGTATCCTTTTAACAATCTCCAAGTGAGTTAAATGGTGCCTCCATATAACAGCTAACAAGACTAACACCATAAAGAATATTGGGTCTTGTACAAGTCAATTATCTCAAGCTTCCAACAAGCCGTCTATAGAGAGATGGATCTACTTTCATGTTCTCGTCATATTTTGACATCTTTGTGTCCACATCCAACGGGAGAACTCATCGGATTGCAATTTTACATTTTGAATCTTTTAAGAACTTTCTTTTCATAAGCTTCTTGAAAAATAACAATGTCATCTCCATTTTGTCTTATCTCAATTCCGAGGTAGTATTCTATGAGCCCAATGTTAGTCATCTCAAATTCTTGAGCCATCATTCTCTTCAATTCATCAAACATGTTTTCATCGTTGCCGGTGAAGATCAAGTCATCAACGTACAAGCACACAATCATAAAACCTCCAAATGCATGGATTTTTTAACGTAAAGAGCATACTCGTGGACATTTGATGAATCCATGATCTTGGAAATACTTGTCAATCCAACTATACAATGCTCTAGGCACTTGCTTCAAGTCATATAGCACATTCTTCAACATCAAAACTTTATCTTCATGTTCCTTGACAACATAACCCAATGGTTGTTGAACGTACACTTCTTCCACAAGGTATCCATTCAAGAAAGTGGACTCGACATCCATTTGATAAATTTTCCACTTATTTTGAGCTGCCAAGAAAATGATTAATCGAATGATTTCCAAACGAGCAACAGGGGCAAACACCTCATCATAGTCAATGCCATGCTTTTGGCTATAGCCTTTGGCAACAAGTCTTGCCTTGTCTTTCTCCACTTTCCCTCGAGTATTTTTCTTTACTTTGTACACCCATTTCATGCCAATTGCTTTTTGCCCTTCAGGAAGAGAGGCTAGCTCCCATGTATTGTTCTTTTTTATTGCTAGGATCTCATCATCCATTGCATGCCTCCATTTCTTGTCTTTCATTACCTCTTCAAAGTTCAATGGCTCAATGTCAATGAAGAGGCAAAACAAAGATGAATTATCAACAACTTCAGTTTCTTCATAAATCTCTACAAGATTTCTGATACGACTAAGTCCTTCGGAAAGACTACCGTGAGAAGATTGAGGACTAGGAGAATGCGGTGGAGTGGCATCTTCACGTGCATTTTGGCTAGAGTCTTCTTCTTGGAAAGGAAAAATCATGCATTCTTCATTTTTCGGAACATTCCAATCCCACGAACTTCCTTTGTCGAATTTCACATCTCAACTAATAACAATCTTTTCATTGCAAGGATTGTAAAACTTGTAGCTTTTAGAGTTTGCATCATAACTGATGAAAACAAACTTTTCACTTTTCTCATCATTTTAATCTCTTCTCATCTGGCATATGCATATAGGCAATACTACCAAAAATACGTAAATGAGAAACAGTAGGTTTCCTACCACTCCAAGCTTTTTGTAGAGTCATGTCTTGAACACTCCTCGATGGGGAAAGAGTAGACAAATACACAACACATGTAACAGCCTCGGCCCAAAACTCCTTCTCCATACTCTTGCTCTTAAGCATACTACAAACCATGTTAAGGATGGCTCTATTCTTCCGTTCCACAACACCATTTTGTTGCAGTGATCTTGGAACTGTAAGGAAATGCTGGATTCCATTGGTATCACAAAAATTGTTAAACTCATTGGAAGTAAATTCTCCACCTCAATCCATCCTTAATGCTTTGTTTGAGTTGCCACTCTCATTTTCAACAAGGGCTTTGAATTTTTTGAATGCTCCAAAAACTTCATCTTTTGTCTTCAAAAAATAAACCTAGGCCTTGCGAGAAAAATCATTAATAAATAGTAAGAAATAATTTGCTTTACCATGAGAGGGTGGTTTGATTGGTCCGCACACATCTGCATGAACAAGTTGGAGTGACTTTGTTGCTCTTGAGGTGGATTCCTTTGGAAAGCTTCTTCTAGTTTGCTTGCCAACGAGGCATCCTTCACAAAGTTGATAGGGATGATTAATTTTTGGCAACCCATTTACCATTTCTTCATTCGTCAAGGTCTTCAAGCCACGAAAATTCAAATGACCAAATCTTAAGTGCCAAAGTCAAGAATTGTCTTCAACACAAACTTTTAGACACCTTGGATGGTTAACATTAATATTGAGTAAAAACATTCTATTTTTCTCCTTTGGCACCTTTGCAATTAGTTTATAAGAAACATCTCTCAAAGTAAGGCAACGATTCTTCAAGTGAATGTCATAGCCATTCTCAAGTAATTGTCCCAAACTCAAATTATTAGATTTCAAAGTAGGTACATAATAAACTTGAGAAATCAAAAGATGACTTCCATTTTTAGCACGAATAAGAATGTCACCTTTGCCTTTTATTGGAATTTTAGTTTCATCTCCAAAAATAATGTTGCCTTTTACCGACTCATTTATTGCTGAGAATAACTCCTTGTTGCCACTCATGTGATTGGCAGCACCGGTGTCAAGGTACCACGATTATTTATCCTTTTCTTCTTTTATTGCCAACAACAACAACAATTCTTCATCTTTCTTTGCTTTAACATAATTCACTCTCTCTTCATTACTATTGGTGTCACTCCTACATTCGGAAGCATAGTGACCATATTTATGACAAGTGTAACATTGAACATTGGACTTGTCATATCTTCTTCCGCCACCTCTCTTGGACCTATAGTTCCAATGACCTCGTCCTCTCGATTGATTGCTTGATCCTTCATTATTCAAATTTTGTTTTCCATCATTTCTTTCATTACCATGACCATAATTTCCTCTACGACCACGACCACAAACTTGACCATGAATTTGACCTCTTCTTTGAGATCGCCCTTGCTCTTTCTACTGACCTCCCAAGGAGACATTTGTTTGGAGTTCTTGAGCTACCGGTTCTCCTTTCTTCTTCAATCTTTCTTCATATGCTTGCAAGGATCCCATGAGTTGATCAAGGGTCATGGTATCCATGTCATTAGACTCTTCAATGGCAATACTAACAAACTCAAGTTTTGAGTCAAGTGATCTAAGAATTTTCTCGACGACAAGACTTTCTTCAATATTCTCCCCGTACCGCTTCATATAATTAACAATGGAAGACACTCTAGTGAAATAGTCAAAGACAGATTCAAACTCTTTCATGTGCACAGATTTGAACTCCCCACGAAGGACTTGAAGGCAAACTTTCTTCACTTTTTCAAATCCCTTGAAATTGTTCTCAAGAATCTCCCAAACTTCCTTAGCTTTTGTTGTGGACACAACTTTCTCGAACATGGCTTCATCTAAGCCCATGTGAATAATAGAGAGAGCGTGTTGATCTAACTTGCGGTACCTTTGCAAGGCATTCCTTTGAGCTTAACTTAAAGCTCCTTCATTCTCTGGTTCATCATAGCCTTTCTCTACAACTCCCCATGCCTCTTGTGAGCTGAGCAAAGCCTTCGTGTATATGCTCCAATGTCCACAATTTTCCTTTGTTAGTTTGGGAACAACAAAAGGAAATGAACTCTTCATCTTTGAAATGGCTTTGATACCATTTTGTTGGAAATAAAAAATTATGGGATGAAAAACTAAAGAGAAAAATTCAGAGAATTCTCAAAAATATTTGTATATGCTTGGCTCAATAAAATGTCTCAAGCGCAAGGCTTTTTATAGGTACAAATACGTTGTATGAACTTAATAGACTAATTAATGACTTTTCCTATAAACTATGAATAATAGGATACAAAGAACCATTTGGATACATGATTTAAATAAATACATGAATATTAAATAAACTAATTCTTGTATGAAATTTAATATTTTTCATCATTCATGAATCAAGTTTAATTTTCAACAATATATCATAAAAGTGATAGATCATACACAAGTAATATAATGATAAGTCAAGTGTAGTCCCGTGAAGGTTAATTATAGACTCTACTTTAGTTAAAACTAAATTTAACAAAACACACAATTAATATTTTAGGTTATGAAATATTTTTCCCTGATAAACAAATTAACTACGTGATTTGAGATCATATTAAGATCTTAGAGTTAAAATTATCAAGCAAAGCACAAAGATCAACAATCTACTGTTGTAATCCTAATTCACTTTTCAATTACCTGTCAATTGTTAATTCTTGCCTAAATTGAAAATCAATGATCCAGTATTAATAAAAAAAGCCTCTATCAATTCTATGCTTATATGTGAACCTAATTAATTTTAGTTAAATTATGAACACATAAGCATTTATTATTAACAAAGATTATCTCCCTTGATTTCAGAGGGTTTGCCGATTCGATCAACTAGCATACCCTATGTTTTTTATTACCATGAGCTAATTTATATCGAACCTCTAGAAAACAATATAAATCACACACACGTTTTAATGTTGAACAATCATCAAAATAAAATTATAAACAAACAACACAAATAACAAGAATTTAACAAAAAATGAGCAACTTTGAATTGATATGATGTAGATAATTGTGTAAGCTTGACACAATCAAAAACAAGAATATAAAGTTTTAATGGAGAAAATATCCATCCAATTCAGAATCCTTTTAATGATCTTGAGTTGTGTCATCTTCTCGTCAATTTGCCCGATATATGGATGAATTCTTCTTTTACAATTGCTCCAAGAAAAATTCACACCTCCTACCCACCGTTCGCAAGGTATTTTCATCCCAGGTCCTCAAAGTTTTCAACATCTTCAATTCATTCCTTTGACTTTTTGAGTAACCCATTTAGATCCTTAAAATTTTCCCTGTTAAAATTTTGGTTCACTAGTAATGTTGTGTTTAGATTTGGACGAAAAATATAGAGGAGCAATTACTTTAAATAATTCTAGAAAATATCGAATCTAATTTAAATAATATAGAATATTCATTGATATAAAATTGTGCTTAGAAAAATTTTACATTCTCGCAATTATGCAATGACGTGAAAAAGACCTTTTGAACGATTGTATCTACTTGTCTTTAATTACGAAGGACCACAAAACTGAAACGTCACTTATTAAATTTTTTTCACCTGATTTTTGTGTTTAGATTTAAACAAAAGACATGGGGACCATTTTTACTATTAATATCTAATCTAAAATTTGTATAACATGTGTTTTTAGTTTTTACATCTGTCTTAATTATACAATGGCATGAAAAGACCATTTATACAAGTAAAAATTAACTCAAAAATTAAAAAAAAAATTATTCTCACAAGTAAAAAATTAAACTTTTTGTAAACGCTCACTTCTATGTTAAATAATTTATAGTAAGTAAAACTTTACTAATAAGTAAAAATTTATGCACAATTACACTAACATGTAAAAGTTACGATGAGAAAAATAATTCACTTACAGATGAAGTCTTTGGTTAAAAGTAAAAAATTCACTTGTAAGTACCACAATACAAATTACTTACAAGAAAAGAATGACGTAGATGTCAAAAATTAATTATACGTGAAAAAATTTATTTCTGATTAAAAAAGTATTTATAAATAAAATTATTGTCAATAAAATTATGATAAAAGATTATTTACACATGTATTATTTTTCTAATGTGGTATAATATGAAACACCGTACTGAAATAATACTTCATATTCATCTTAATACAAATCTCTCTAATGCATATCCCTCCTTATTCTATTCTCCTAATCTTACACTTTGTATCAACATGCTTAGATTTCCATCAATATCTATTACCTTGTTAAGCATCCACAGAAGTGAATAATGCCCTATAGTAGAACAGTCTCAAAAGGATATCAATGATACAAAATGTTCAAATTACAAAAGATAAAGTTATGGAAACTTATTTTTTTAGTATCCAAACATACCCTAAGCTCACTAATCCTGATACATCACAAATCCTAATCAGTGCCCTTTTAGATCAAAACAAATCAAAGTAGCACTCAGTTCTTAATCTTGTAATCTCTCTCAGTTATGGCCATCCAAGGAAGCAGATTGGGCCACGAGCAACACTAAAATATTTAGGTTGTTTCGAGTGACCCAATTAACTTTTGGATTATATCGTCTCGATTGTGGTGTTAAATTTCTAATCAGTCATTTGGATAAGCTGACTGAAAAATAAAACCGAGTAACATCATAGCCCGGGGGAGGTCGTTTGATAACAAATTGCCAAATTGCCTAACAATACACAAGTAATATAATGATAAGTCAAATATAGTCCCACGAAGGTTAAATATAGACTTTACTTTAATTAAAACTAAATTTAGCAAAACACACACAATTAATATTTTAGGTTATGAATTTTTCCCCTAATTAACAACTTAACTACACGATTTGAGAACATATTAAGAGATGTGTAAAATTATCAAGCAAAGCACAAAGATCAACAATCTACCGTTGTAATCCTAATTCACTTCTCAATTACCTTTCAATTGTTAAATTCTTGCCTAAATTGAAAATCAAGATCCAGTTTTAATCAAAAAGCCTCTATCAATTCTATGCTCATATGTGAACCTAATTAATTTTAGTTAAACTACGAACACATAAGCATTCATTATTCACAAAGATCATCTCATTTGATTTCAAAGGGTGTGCCGATTTTTCTATCAACTAGCATACCCTATGTTGATTATTACCATGAGCTAATTTATATCAAACCTCTAGAAAACAATATAAATCACAAACACGTTTTAATGTTGAACAATCATCAAAATAAAATAATAAACAAACAACACAAATAACAAGATTTTAACAAAAAATGAACAACTTCGAATTGACACGATGTAGATAATTGTGTTAAGCTGGATATGATCAGTAACAAGAATATAAAGTTTTAATGATAGAGAAAACTAGATAGAGAGATGAAAAAAGATGAATACATTTGTCCAATCTAGAATCCTTTTAATGATCTTGAGTTGTGTCGTCGTCTTCTCATCAATTTGCCCGATATACCAATGAATTCTTCTTTTGCAATTGCTCCAAGACATTACGAAGTACTACTTAAAAAATTTAAAAAATAATAAAATAATAATAAAAAATAAAAAATAAGTGATTATAATACCCGCAAACCTTAAAAATTATGTTTCCAACTCGAACTAGGAAATTGGGCAGCAAGGCACGACATGACTGGTTCTATGAAACATTCACACCTCCTACCCACCGTTCGCAAGGTATTTTCATCCCAGGTCCTCAAAGTTTTCAACATCTTCAATTCATTCCTTTGACTTTTTGAGTAACCCATTTAGATCCTTAAAATTTCACCTATTAAAATTTTGGTACACTCGTAATGTCATGTTTAGATTGGAAAAAAAAATTATGGAGGAGCCATTAGTATAAATAATTCTAGAAAATATCGAAATTGATTAAAATGTATAGAATACTCTTTGATATAAATGTGCTTAGAAAAATTTTACATTGTCGCAATTATGCAATGATATGAAAAAGACCTTTCAAACTATTGTATCTACTTGTCTTCAATTATGAAGTACCACAAAACTGAAACGTCACTTACTAAATTTATTTCACATGATTTTTGTGTATTAATATCTAATCCAAAATTTGTATAACATGTGTTTTTAGTTTTTATTTCTGTCCCAATTATACAATGGCATGAAAAGACCATTTATACAAGTAAAAATTAACTCAAAAATTAAAAAAGTATTCACTCACATGTAAAAAATTAAACTTTTTATAAAACACTCACTTCTATGTTAAATAATTCATAGAAAGTAAAACTTTACTAATAAGTAAAAAAATTCAGTTGTAAGTACAAAAATACAAATTACTTATAAGAAAAGAATGACGTAGAAGTCAAAAATTAAGTATACATAAAAGTATAGTCAATAAAATTACGATTAAAGATTATTTATACATAAAATATTTTTTCTTTTCAGTTTTTAGTGATTGTATATCATTTTTCTAATGTGGTATAATACGAAACACCATACTAAAATAATACTTCATATTCACCTTAATACAAATCTCTCTAATGAATATCCCTCCTTATTCTATTCTCCTAATCTTACACTTTTTATCAACATGCTTAGATTTCCATCCATATCTATTACCTTGTTAAGCATCCACAGAAGTGAATAATGCTCTATAGTAGAACAGTCTTCAAATGATATCAACAATACAAAATGTTCAAATTACAAAAGATAAAGTTATGGAGACTTATTTTTTTTAGATCCAAACATACCCTAAGTGTACTATTCCTGATAACACCACAAATCCTAATCAGTATCCATTTAGCAGTTCTTAATCATCTTCACCAAGTAAGAAACCGAAAGTCAGAAAGGAGGAGCTAATCATCTTCACCAAGTAAGAAACGGATATTAGGAATCTCGAGTGAGGTTTTCAAGAAAGAAGAAGAAGGAGAACCAAGAAATGATCAAATTATTTTTAACCATAAATTATTGGGAACAATAAGTAATATCTACTTATCCACCATTTATTTCTATTTTATTTATAAACATTTCGGAAACATGCTTCTTATATATATAATTTTCTTTTTTATTTTATTGTTTTAGATGAACAAAAAGTCTCTATATTGTTTTGTTTCTTTTCTAACATTTATTCAGTAATTCATGAAGGTATGAAAAATTTTACATTTATCTCAATTATATGATATGAAAAGACCTTTCAAAGTAATTATGGTACTCAACACTTGTAAAACCTCACTTGAACAAATGGTAAAATCCAAACTTGAACTTACTTCACTTATTATAATTTCTGTTCACTTGTGATTGTAGTGCATATATTTATTTAGGCAAAAGACTTGGGAGACTAATTGTGGTGCAAATTAGTCCGTAAGATATGATGCTGACTTTAGAAATAAAATAAAATAAAATGAGGCCGACAAAATTTACGTTTCATTAGGTTGAGTAGGATAGATAGATAGCTAATCCATTTTGTCGATTTTACCCTCTACGGTTCACGTAATTTACTTTCATTAGAGCAAAATGAGATTTATTACAAAATACAAAAATTTGATCCTCGTTTGATATTAAAATTAGGTTTTAATAAATTTTGATAAAAGCTGATAAATGTATGATTGAAAAAGTTATGAGGCCTATAAAATATGTTGTTAAAATCAATTGTTGACTTTGATTTAAATTTAAAATTTTAATTTTAATTTCTACAAAATAGATGCTTAATTGATAATTACTTTCCTGGTGTGATAGAAAGGCTTCAAAATTTCATTAAAAAATAAATAAATAGGGACTTGGGTGCCTCATGGGGTGGCCAAGTTGGTGAAGTAGGTGAGCGTGGAAACCTTTGATCATGAGTTCGATTCCCCCTGCCAGTAATTTCTCGATCGAGCCTGTCACACAGGACCTGCCTAATGCGGTTTACCTGGTTGGTGTGGTTCGCAGGCTATTGCATCAATTTGAGAGTTTATCCAGTGCTCACTCAAAAAGTAGCGACTATGGGTTTCCCCATCATCAAAAATAAAAAGGGACTTGGGATTGTAATTTCTGTTGATTAGAAAGTTGCGTTCCCTGGTGTTTGGGAAAGTCTTCAACACTTCAATATTTCTTTACTTTTTATTAATTGTATTTTTTCTAATATGATATAATACTGAATTCCGTATTAAAATGATACATCATAATCGAAATTAATATGTATCTCTAATGTTATCCCTCCTTATTCTATTCTCCTAATCCTACACTTTGTATCAGCATGCCTAAATTTCCATCAATGATGTTGGCGGCCTATAAAACCTTTACTGCCTCTTCTTAGAACATAATCACATGTTTATTAGTTTCTTTCTTTTTGTGGTCATTAACATCTCACTACCTGTGTGCTTTGGTGAATTCTCCTCAATCAACTTTCATGAGTCCGGAGCGACCCCTAGTTTTAGTTGGGTACTGTAGCAATTTCTTTCAAAAGTCACACCCACAATTAACTCCAATAAAGCCACATGAAGTTTTTAAACCCATAAAAGAATCCAAAAGCAGATCCAGCAGCCTCAAGAAATTCACGTGTCAACATTTCATGCAAACCATCCACTTGAAAAGATGTTGTCGCACACATATCACACGTGCCATCACAACATCGTCACACTCTTGAACATTATATAAAGAGATTCAAGCCGGTATTCTTCCCATTCACATTTCACTAAAGCTGCCTTTAATCTCTCTTTCAATTATGGAGATCGCTTTGAAGTCATTTGCAGTGGTGTCCTTCCTGCTGTTGGTTTCCCTATCCACTGGTTTGAAATTTATTCAACTCCATAGCTTTTCAACTACCTTTAATTAGGCATGCATGCACGTTAATTTACCAAATAAATAACCTTAACAACTATAATTTCATACCAAAGCATTCGCATTTTTTACATTGGAGCGTATCATACATTTATATATTGAACTGTGCTTGTGTAATAAAATAGTGTATCTTTTACTCTTTTTCTTGTATTAAGCTGATATGAGTGGTCACCTTGTTGTGGATGCTCTAGGATGTGACCCGCAACTTTGTCAACAACACTGCTCTAGTCAGGGTTTGCCAACATGCTGCGAAGGTCCGAGTTTCCCGTGTCTTTGCCAAGAAATTTGCCCACGTAATCGTATTATGAGTGGTCCTCCTGTAGTGAATGCTCTAGGATGTGACCCGCAACTTTGTCAAGCATACTGCAAAAGTCTGGGTTTGCCATGGTGCTGTTCAGGACTATATGGACCGTGTCTTTGCCAAGGACCTTGCCCACGTATGTAAACATAAACTTAATTATATGTCGGCTTACAGATTGAATCTGGGTTCCTTATGCAGTTGCACTAAAATTTCGCCTCATTGATTGCAGTTGCAGACTCTGTTCCAACAAAAATTACTGAGGAGGCAAAGGCTGGTGCGACAGACAACGAACCTTTCATCGAGGAGATAGTAATCGCTTGATGCTTTTGTGCAAATGCCTGGTTGAGTCAATAAACTTGTAGATCTCTGTTTGGAGATCTCTTTAATTAAATAATCTGTGGTCTTTGTTTGGGGACTACTTTGTGGAAGTGTACCCGTCTTTAATTACAAGTATTATGTTGTATATTTTAATAATTTTTGTTGTCTTCTTTTAGTTTTTATCAATTTGATATTTGCACTAACATAAATACTATCTAAGTACCACATCTAATCATGTTTAATTATGTTTCGTCCAACTTTAAATGTGATTTAAAATCTACATCAAAGTCAATAATTAATTATAATCATACGTTTCATTGGATCTATAACTTTTAAACCACACATTCCATCAATTTTGATTTTAAAAAAATAATAATAATAATAAAAACCTTACTTTTATCTAAACCAGATTTGGGCTTAATATGATCTCCTATTGTAATATTTTTCTTTCATTTTATAATATGTCACTGAATGTGGTTGGTTTTCATAAAAATCTTTCAACTACATTTTCTCTATCAAACATAGGGAAACAACATTTGCAACTTAGGTTTGGAAATAACATTTGCTGCCTATAATTAGACAGGTAGGTTTGGAAATAAACAATATCATTATTAATTAAAATCGACAATGAACAAGTTATTGTCAATTATATACTAATTACAGAAAAATAATTATATCCCTATAATCCTAGTTATATGATTATTGTATCTCTTACAATCCTAGTTCTTCCCTATATATAGGGCTTTGGTTTTCAATAAAATGTAAATATTTATTGGATTCTATATTTTTATTTTTTTCCCTCAAGTTTATAACACATTACTATTTGTTGGTTAATGAATTTTAATCATCACAATAAGAAATTAATTTTCCTTTGAATATTAAAATCATGTAAATAAGGATTTAATTGACCTTAAGATCATTGAATTATTAAATCCTTACATTTATAGAAAGGGGAGATGATAACCTTTTTGAAGAAGCTATTAATGGTCTAGCCAATTGCTTCCTCCCTTAGATCTTCTCCCTTGTTCTCCACTAGGTGTTATTTCTTTTTGGGGAATGTGAAAAGTGGCTAACCCTAAAATCACCAAAATATTTATAATGACCTATTAGGGTTTGGAAATTGCACAAATTTCCTTAGACTTTATTATAGTAGGTCAATTAAGTCACACATTTTTTATTGGAGCCAAGAGAGTGACCTAATTGGACTCACATGACCCAAACTCCAATAGATTTTTTAATTGGGTCAAGTCTTGACCAATTGAGATACATCTATTAATCCCGGCTTATTCTACCAAAAATCGAGATTGCACTCTCAAGTCGAGTGATAGTTATAGAAGCAAATTATGATCCAATAACAATATCCTCTGATTATCGTTTCACAAGTCAACCCTCATTTGACCATCAATATGTTGAAACTAGCAAAATGACCGTTTTGCCCTTCAACATGCATTACCCTCTAAGTCCCATTTTCATACGGCAAATTCGTTGTGATCAAATCACAATATAAAGTCCAACGATCTCATCGTCGATCTACTGAGTTTAGATTCAATTTGCCTAGGAAAATACCTTAGAGTGACAATCGTCTCATCTCAATGATTAATGGATTCCAATATTGTAAGTATATGATCTCTAATTATTTCGGCCCAATTCCCAGAGCACCGAGATCAATCTTCTATTTAAGACTTCACTCATTGGTACCTCAAAGAACTTGAACTAGCAATCAAAGGTACATTACTCACTCAAGATTTAGATGACCTAGTTGATAATCAAGTAGATTCTCATTTCAAACGGTCACAAATGAGTCATCTACGCGGTCACGTTCAATGTGCATCGAAACACATTATTGTTCCTATTTTCAAGATCTAGACAAATCTTAATAAGAACAATACAATCTTATCAACATAAAGTATCCAACTTTTTGAACTGATTGTGAACGATATAATTTTGATCACATCACAAATTGTGTCTTACTATACCCGATCCATCGAGTATACAATTTGAAACATCCTCTATAATCATGGAACCTTAGACAATCACTTCAAATTATAACACGCAAATAAATGAACGTAAATTCATAATATGATTTTACAGAACATTACTCGAAAAATGGGCATTAAACTAACAATTACAAGGATGAAGTTAAGTTCTGGTCAATTGAAACTTATTCATCTTTCTGCTCGCGAACCTTAGATCAAGACGAAGTAGGAAAAAAAATCAATTTCTCTTATGTTAAAAGAAAGACACGAAATTTTAATAATTGATTTCATAAAGAAACCCCTTTTCCTTTAAAGAAAATATCATTGTTATCTTGACACCTATTCACTACATCACCTGTGTGGTAGAGGATCATGGTTTATCCACAATACTCACAAAGGTGTCACCCTATTTTACACATATATCGGGAAGCAAATCAAATTGCTAATTCACTCACTTGAAATGGACACAATCGACGCTGACCAG